GGCGGGGGTACCGGCACGCCGCATGTGGAGCAGGCACAGCAGCTCGCTGTTTCATTGTGTGAGTTATACTCATTTGATATGTTGTATGCTCATTTAATACATTTATGCTCACATAACATACTTAACATAATTATACTCATTTTGGGTCAGGTGGAAACAGGCTTTGTGCTTCTGTGCTGTGACAGCTGTCTCCTTCAATGAAAGGACTCCAAAATGCTGCTAAAGTCTGAAGTATTAATTAAACCACAAGTGTAGGTTCTAATGCCATTAAATAGTGCGTAGTTTTGATTCGGTTGTGCAACTGCTAGCATCATGGGTTGGCTGATTTTTGGACTTAACGTGAGTTAATTTTTGCGATTACTCTTCCCGTTGTAATATCTGGGACTCCCATCATGGTGGTTTTGAATGAGTGCGTGTTGATGATACTATATGGCTCTTCTAAGTGTATGGTATAGAATACAGAATATTGCTAACTCATGTTTTTTAACCTACTTACCTTAACCTGATTGTTTAAACAATTTGAGTATGGTTTGTTACCCAATGCGCAGCAAGAACCTCGAAGAAAGTAGTCTGACTGTCCGTAATATCTTCCTATAATTCTTAATTCCTGTTTGCTTTGATGAAGAAAGTATCTAATCTCAGTAGTCTACCTGCAGTCTAGAATAATAGACAGAGATTAACTTTCAGAAATCTAGCAATTTTAAGTTGTAGGAGCACATAATATTATCCCAAACCATTTCCTCATATCCCAAACATTTTTCCTCAGTTCCATGTCGTAAATGTCAAAAGTACTTTTGAACGGTTGCTTCAAGTCATTAGTGAACTTCTGTGTGACTTGTTTCTGACTGGAGCTAGTTTTTGTGGTTAAGTTATGGCCTGTTGAAGTGATGAAATGCTTCCCATCCTGGGGACGTTCAGAAGATGACGGGGAGGGGAAGACGCAGTGTTTTCCCAAGAGCCCGCTACTCAAGGTGCCCTCCCCTCTGAGTGCACAGGGCTTCCAAAGTGACTGTCCGTTGTCCTCTTTGCGTGATTTTATCAACTATGATACAGTAGAAAGACTGTTCTCTCAGAACTGGTTTAGGACATTTCAGATAGGTATCTGTGCACCCATTGACACTCGGTTTGTTTAAAAGATCACCTCCGCAATCGTAAGGACTCTTTAAAAATAAATGACAAGTTGCTTTCTACAGCAGAAGGCAGCATTTAAAACGCTTCCTGGTCACCGGCCACAGCACCAGATCCCAGTATGCTTCACATGTCAGTGCAGGTATTATCGGTGCTCTTTTCAGCAGATACTAAAATATTTTTTCTTTAGGGAATGGTGGATCAACACTTCATGTTCTTCAATGCTTGGAAGATCTGTATGGTGATAAATGGACTTCTTTTATTGTGCTGCTAATTCATTCTGGTAAATTCTGTTTTACATTTCACACTCTAAAACTGTACACCCCTTTTCAGAATTCTGAAATACAGTTCCCACAGAAAAGTAATCCCAAATGTATCTGATCTGATCATTTGGATTTAGATTGATACTTAGGAGATACTACTGTCACTTAAGCATTTCTTCTCGGCACTTAAGTAGCTCGATCAAACAGTGGAGGAAAAAGTGTAATTCAGAGTCTCTGAATTAAGCATCTGCATTGAAATACCCAGTTCAGGAGCACGACCCTCTCTGTAGGGGACCTGGGGGTCCTCGTAACTGCAGGCAGACTGAATCCTTGCCACCTTACCCCGTCAGTCGGAACACTTCCAAAAAGGGCAGCAGTTTTGCAGAGGAGAAAGAAACTGGATAATAACAAGTCACCTGACCAAACCACTGCTTATTTGACTCATCTCTGACTTCAAATTCTGGGCAGGGGTCCTCCTTCTTTTCAAGCGAAAAGCAGGCGTCATTTGCTTTCTTCGCTTTAGTTACAGACAAGTGGTCCATATTCCAGTTCTGAAGCAAACTAAAGGTAATGAAATTGACCACAATTTTAATGTAAGCTGTTTAAGGTGTGTTAGATTTTGGTCATAAGGGCAGATCTGCTTTGAGAAGTGTTTGAAGAAGAATGATTGATCATTTTCTTACATGTCAGTTTCTGAGAACTACTTAGAATATGACCAAACTGGGGGGGGGGGGGGCAGGTTTATACCTTTGTATATGTGTAAAAATGTGTAAAATAGCTGTGTAGGTTTAGGTTTTGCTTACTTATGTACAATGTCTCTGTATAATTAAAAATGTCTTTTTCTTCAAGGCGGTTACAGTCAACGTTTACCAAATGCAAGCGCCCTGGGAAAGATTTTCACAGCTTTGCCTTTTGGCAATCCCGTTTACCAGATGTTGGAACTGAAGCTCGCCATGTACATTGATTTCCCCAATCACATGAAACCAGGAATTCTCATTACGTGTTCGGATGACATAGAACTTTACAGCACTGGAGTTACAGAAATCATCACATTTGATAAACCTGGATTTACCGCGTTAGCTCACCCTTCGGATTTGACAGTTGGGACCACTCACGGAGTGTTTGTTTTAGATCCATCCAGTTTTTCAGGAAAAGGAGGACTTGAATACACATCTTGCCATCATTTCCTGCACAAGCCTGATATTGAGACAATGCGCCAGTGTGGCGCAGTGTGCCTAAGAGGGAATTGTTCTCAGCCAAGTTCCTCTGGAGACCCCTGTGACTCAGAAATGAACTTGGAGTGTGTGTATACAGACAGCATATTTTACATCGATCATAGCATTGCAAAACAATTACTGACATTTTATAAGCAGATGGGCAGTCTTTGCTGTGAAATAGATGCATATGGTGACTTCCTCCAGGCTCTGGGACCTGGAGCCACTCAAGATTACACAAAAAACACAAGTAACGTCACAAAAGAGGAATTGCGGTTAGTAGAAGTACGGCAGAAGCTGTACTCTCTTCTGAAAGGAACTACGCTTAATGTTATAGTCTTAAACAACTCTAAGTTCTATCATATTGGAACTACCCAAGAGTATTTGTTTCATTTTACATCTGATAGCAAACTGAAATTTGAGCTTGACTTGCTGCCTGTAGCTTTTAGCATCTTTTCTGACAAAGCCGAGACCTTGGGTCAGTCAGCAAGTGTCATTCAAAGCGTCCTTGAGCCTGGATGTTTTATAGGACCAGGATCCATTATTGAATACTCTAGAATTGGACCTGAAGTCTCAGTAGGGAAGAGCAGCATTATCAGTGGATCGTACATAAATTTGAAAGTAGAAATACCTTCAAACTGTTTCCTGAGTTCATTAAGTATAAAAATGAACGATCAAGTACAGTATGTAAGTATAGTGTTTAGTGTAGAAGACGACTTGAAAAAGAGTGTGAAATCATTGTCAGATATACATTCGCTCCATTTTTTTGGAGTCAGCTTACTGGAATGCTTGGACCTCTGGGGTGTAAAGGTTTCAGACCAGCTCTTCTGCAGTGAGAACACACGTTTGGGGTTGTGGACTGCTAGGATTTTTCCTGTTTGTTCTACTTTAAGTGAATCGGTTAGAATATCGTTAAAGATGTTAAATTCTGTGCAGCACATGTCGGCTTTTAAATTGAATGGCTTTAAGCTGTTGTCTGTTGCAGAAATGCTCACCTACAAAGATGTAGAAGACATGTTGAAGTTTAGGAAGCAAATTTATGACGAAATCAGTCTACAAAGACAAAAAGAGAAGTCTGATTTGTAGCATGAACAGTACTTGAACAAATGTTCCTGTTTTCATTTATGGATGATTGATTACTTCCCAGCTTGTAAAAATCATAAGAAAAAAGTACACAGATCTTTTCTCTGTTTTCATTGAAGTAGAAATAATGAAATTGCATTAACAATGTTGTTGTAGCATAACGTTAATAGTGCAGCAAATGCAGATAAACTATTCTTTTGATGAAAGAAGTAGTGAAATATTTCTGATCTCTGAAAACACTAATTGGTGACTTTTGGGGTGCATATTATGTTTTGTAGTCTTTGTCAGTAAGGATATGATACAGAGCAAATTAATTAGAAATTTGACTGAAAACTGCTTTAAAAGTTTTTCAAAGTAGAACATTAGCTCCAGCAACATGGAATGACATAGCAATAACTTCTGTTTCTCTCTTTTCATGCTGCCTTTTTACAGTAATGTTTCAAGTATGTAGAGATAAATTTATTAAAAGTACTTTTTAAATCAAGATATCCTGTCTTAAGCATTAATCATTTTCTTTATTTTTTTTTTTATTTTGTAACTTTTTTTTATACTTTCTTGTTTTTCATCAGAGGAAAAAGATTTGCATGAGAGATCATTCTTTCCCTTGTGACTAATAATACTGGGGTCAAAACCTGGCATCAAGACATACTGATTTTATCTTATTTTTTTTTAACTGTTAGTCATTTGGAAGCTGGTAGTTTGATTGGGCAGCTACCAGCTTTTTGTTATCCACAGATTTACTGATATGTGCCACATGAAAACCCACATTTCGGATTTCTCTAAACTGAACTGTTCGAGTCCTTGGAGTGATGCTTAATCCTCATGCAGACCAGTGGAGCAGATGACAGGTTAACTATTGTGAGTGGTACCACGATGCAGATCTTCAGAGTAACACCCAGTGTCTATTCTGTCTTCCCCTTCGCCACCCTTTACTAATAAAGATGTCCCTTTGTTTCTAGTTTAGGTGCCACAGATCCAGCTCCACATAGGGAAGTGTGCTTTTTACACTTTCTGTTCTGGCATGATCAAAAAGGGAAGTGCCTTTTTGATGTGTACAACTTTGAATGTACTTTTCTCTGTTCCCTCTTCCCCAGCCCCTTTTTTTAAAAATATAGGAAGTGCCGTAGTAGGTCATGCCAGTGCTCCATCTAGCCCCGTGTTCTCGCTTAGGCCATGGCACCACAAAGATGCTGTGCAGGGAGAGCACGCAAGCCTATCCGGTTCTGTGATCCTCAACAGCTCATTACGTAAAGAATCAGTATATACTTCAGTACTACAAGATGGAAAAAAGCTTGTTCACACTGAGTTTATATTAAGGTACCTCAAATAATTTATTTTTGATTTTGCTTGTATAATGACTGCATTTTTAATATTTCCATTTCATGCCATTTTTAAGAATGTGCTGTGTATTCTATCAATGTGATTTGACAGCAAACACCTTGCGTCTTTTTCTCTTGCGTGTATCTATGGGTTTTCATGTTTTATTTAATGTTTCGTTATAACAGCATTTATCTCCCTACTGACTGAATTCCCTAATGGCGTCTTTCTTATGCCACCTAAAGGTAGTCGTGTAGTATCTCCTGAACGTTACCCAAGCTGGTTTAACCTTCACCAAGTTTCTTCCTTATTGATAAACCTTTCAAGAGACATAGTATTTTTCCTGTCTTCTGAACAAGAAGAAATACAAAGGGGCTAGACGTGGAGGTGGGAAATTGCTGAGGTTGACTTCATAGAATCATAGAATCATTATGGTTTCAAAGATCATCAAGTCCAACCGTATACCTGATACCACCATGCCCACTAAACCATGTCTTGAAGTGCCACATCTAAACGTTTTTTGAACACCTCCAGGGATGGTGACTCCACCACCTCCCTGGGGAGCCTGTTCCAGTGCCCAACGACTATTACAGTGAAGAAGTTC